TGAGAGGCATGGATTATGTGGCCCGGCTACTGTAAACGACTGGCCTCTGTCACATATATATGCATACACATACTGTATGTGTGCCAGCCAAAACAGACGGCGGATTATAAGCATTTTAGGACAAATTTAGACATTAATACATTTCAGTCATAGTTCATATAGCTGATATAGTTCAAAATACATACTGATCTAATAGTTTGATCTTTGTGCTTAAGTTCATTATTCCTCACAGACACTGATGGAAAAAAAAATCCAAAGAATAATATTTTCAAAAAATAATGCGTACCAATTTACTTTGTTATTTTTTGTGTAATTTTGTTTGAGAGTGAGAGTCACCGCACAATGCCCACTTGAACTGCTATCTCCTAAAATAGTAAAATATTGAAATTCTGTTTCTCGGTTACTTAACATTTAAGATGCCACACCCTTGAGGCTGCACACAACATCTGCTGCCTACCACTAACCCATGTGAGGATTTCTAAATCTGTGTGAAACTCAAAAATACTGTCGTAAATTACCTCATAGCAAACAAGTAAACACAAGTGGTTAGCACTTAGCCATTGAAACCTAATGAATAACACAATACCATACACATATACTGGTTAATAACATCTTCCCCACTAAGTGACTTCAAGGGGTGACTAAGCTCTGACTGCCTTTGAAACCAGCTGGCTCTTCAGACTTGTCTATTAAACTGTGTGTGGTGTGTGTGACATTACATTACATTGTGTCCTGCTAGCATCTGCCCTATGTGGTCTCTCTGAACTCTGCGGTCTTCTGTGATGGTTCAAGGTTTCAAATGTTAGGCCTATAGAATGTCTTTGTGTATGGCATCTGTGGGGCCCTATGACTAATAGCGTGTGGCGTGAGCTAGTGCAGTTTAACATCAGGTGTATCAAAGTAAAAGCGCTCCACATCTGTTTGCCTGGGCGGAGGAGTGCTGGCCGCAGATATTCTGATTGGTCTTAATTTCCTGAAGCTGGGTGAGAGATTTAAAACACTGCAGCACTAATGGCAAGGACACAGGTGCTGGAGCTAAAATAAGACACTACAAAGTCACCCACAAAAAGGAAATCAAAACATTGTCTGAACTATAATTACTCCCCCTGAACATGTTTTAGGAACACAGTGGGTTAGCATATCCAGACAGGGTACTCATAATGTACTACAAGTAGGCTATTACTTCAAACTTAAAATACAAGAGCGGGATCAGCTCTCCATAGATCGGACCTGTAACTTGGCCTGGTGCTGTCACTGTTTTTCAGTAATAGGTTACTTTTAGTTGGTATTTTATTACCACCATTACTCACACTGTTTAGTACTAATAATGACACTACTGTTACAGTCTGGTTATTTACAACACATTTACGAAGAACTAATGCCTCATAAAGCAGTCGATAAAAGCAAGCTTGGATAAAAAGATGGGGTGGAATCACAACAGTATTCTATGTAAAAGCTCAATATGCGACCAAACCAAGGGAGTCAACTTTGACCATATAGCACCAAGACTAAATGTCATTAACATAAATTAATATCAGTGTTCAGTGTGAAATCTTAAAGTCGTGATAACAAACCAAAAGGGATCTTTTTTTTTTTTTTTGACTTTTTATTTTGATCTGAAAAAAAAATCACATAAATAGAAATCACGTCAAAACTCCAGTACTGGTTTTGAATGGGTGGTACAGAATTCACATTATATGCTTGACAGCTTAGCAAAGATCTCAGTGTGGAATGACCAACACTGAGGGCGGTTCTGCTTTAACAACAGTAAGACAATGAAAACAGTACAATATCGTTCATTGACTATTTTCTTGCTACAGTGGTTTGGCTTCAACTTTCTGACGCTCCTCTGAACAGTTTGTTAATGATGCAGACAGTGAATGTAAGATATTGGACATAAAGTCAAACAAAAGGCCAGTGCACTGTACAGTACATAATTCGCAGAGTGAGCAGTTGATAAATATGTGTTTTTTACATTGAAGTGCATCACTCAGTGAGATGTCCCACTGCCATCTATTACAGATAATTACTACAGGCATAAAACTTACCCTGACCAATCACATACTGTATGTATTATTATTTTAATTTATAGCAGTGCTATCAATCATCTATATATATATATAAATATAAATATATATATATATATATAAATATAATATATATATATATATATATATATATATATATATATATATATATATATATATATATATATATATATATACAAAAGATTATTTTTGATTAGATCTCTCCACAAACAAAAGTTTTTCTTTCCATGTATTACTAATAAATAAATATCTTTGTATACGTAACACAAAACTGTAACATTTGTTTTTGGTTTTTTTTAAAAAACAGCTGACGGTGGTTAAAAATCTACATAAATACACTTAAATAAATAAATTAAACTTATAAATATACTGTTTTTTACTGTACATAAAATGGTTGGATTTGTGCAGAAAAAAAATATAAAACACTGTCAATTTAGACAAAATGCACTGTTTACATTTCACACTGTTCGGTTCAGTCTTCTGTTTACGTTGCTGAGAAGCAGCACAGCACAGTCTAGAGACATCCTCCTCTTCCTCCTCTCTTCATCACCGACACCATACGCTTTACTCCAGTCCATCTTTAGGGCCAGTCCTTATTCCAGGTACTCCAGTTTTTAGGAAAGCCACCTTAACCTTGGGGCCTTGTGGGAAGAACGACTGATTTGAAAGTGGTCAGCCCTGCACTCCAGTGGTGGTATTCAGGCTACTCCTTTCTTGAACAGTATATTCCCTTTTTGGTAGGACCCCTTCTTGTGGTTCACGTTTCTATATTGAGGTAGAATTTCTGCATCTTTTACCTGCAGAATATCACAGAATCCTTATTAGACACACATTTGATTCAATATATTCTAAATATTGTTATTGTAACTTTTCCTCACCTGTGTCCATATCTTCAATGGTTGGACGATAACCCTAATTTCACTTTCTCTTCACTTTCCACATCATATGCTCCTCGCTTATGAAACCTGTAATCATAAAAATATGATTTAGAACCAATTTCTTTGCTTTTCCAAACCAATAATTTGTGTGTGTGTGTATCTGTGTGTCTACTCACCTTAGCATTAATAAAAGTCCAATAATAGTGAGGCAGACAGATGACAACACCACTGCGATGACAGCCAGTGCAGTTGTCCGACTGTAGCCTTCTTGTGGTTTCTCAACAGGCAGTGTAAAAAACTGGCACCTCTCCCCAGAGTACAATTGGTGACACCTACAAAACACAGAATGTTATAGTATTGATTCATAATACTAGGTAGGTAGGTAGCAGGTGGAAAATGAGATATTGAGTTGGTACTTACACACAGGATGGGGACCGGAGGTCCCTCAAATAATGACAGGTGCCGTGAATGCAGAAATCCTTATACTTCTTCAAACAGGGATTTCTCTTTCTACCTTTGCCCTTCCCCTTTTTTCTACCCTTCCCTCTCCTTGTAGTGCCTTCTGTTTTTTCAGTTTCCAGGACAGCTGAAGGATCCTTTGGTTGGCTTGACATTGCAACTACAAAAGAAGGTGAATCATATTAGATGGAACTCTATATATAATGCAATAAATGGGTGTAGCAGGACTTACCTCGTGGAAATTCATAATCCCCCGAGAGCCCATCCTCGTACTCTTCATCATAGTATTCATCCTCGTAATCTTCATCCTCTTGAGTGTAGTCTACAGTGGTTGTGCCCACATCTGTGCTCTGCTCCGTTCTTTTGTCTTGAGTTGTTGCTAACAAGTTGATGACTGCTGTGTTTCTCAGTCTGTCCGCCTCATATCTGTCCACTGCAGCACTGCTCACAGATCTTGACAGAACTGTAAAGTACAAGTTAGAATGAATTACAAAAATGCCCTTCGTTAGCTCTGAAGGTAAAGTGGTCCATGCCAGAATCCCTGCTCAGGTGGGCGGGACATCTGAGGCAAGTTGAAACATGTTTGGAAGCACTTTTTTTTTCACTCTAGTTTTCAGATAAAAGGGATCCCATTCAAAACTGACTTTGTGCTGAAACTTATCAATGATAAGGCATGTTCCTATAACAGGCTTTGAACTTAAGAATGAAATACTATCTACCACACGAATACAACCACACAAACACATATAGAGACACTTAGGTAATGTTCCATAAGAATATGAGTTAAAAATAAATGTATCTAGTTACATAAAGCATGGTTTAAATAAGAGATGACCCCGTTACCCCCTGAATAAAGGGACAACATGGAAAATATAATTAACATGTTAAAAAGTTTATAAAACGCAGTGCCTCACAGGTAGGCAGGCACATTCTAGTGGCGTGTCCATCAACAAAGCTTTAAACCTACCCAGTGCGTGAAGCAGCAGCGCCATAACAGCGAAAATCCTCATTGTTCCCAAATTCATAGAAGCGTGTATTCCCGTTGCTTGTTCAGAAAGTTTCCTTGTTTTTATAGTTTTGATTTTGAGTTCAGGGAGCAAATTCCAGCTGGGCGCAAACCTCGAGGGTGTGATGAGAGCGCGGTGTTTGCGTCAGAGGAGCGCACTGAAAGACCGTCCTGACAGAGGCGCAGTGGTATTTATGGCTCAAAGTTCACCACGCCTACAGCTGCCTGCCTCTGAAGACGTGAGGCTAAACATTGCACTGGGGCACATTATGGATCTCTCTTGTTAAAGGATCTTTTATATGAGATATAGCTGGACCTATTAACCTACATAAAAAGGGTATACAGTCTTTTGTAGGCTATTATAATAACAACTTAATTCCTGTTACAAAGACATCAACTTCATTTAAAATCTACGAAAATGCAGCTCAAACAGCTAACAATTTTACTGCAAACTACTTGATTCTCAGCACATTTCAAAGTGCAAGGTTACGCCACTGACTGTATACAACCCCACCGAATAGATAAAGTGCGCCACCAACTGGCAGAGATGGGCCAGCTCACTTTTCTAAGGTTTATTGCTGAAAAGCACATGGGGTAACGGAGCGGGCAGCACACGTGTTAATGATTTTTTTAAACACCTATGCGAATCAAAATTGGACCTATAGCCTACGATAAGTAGGCTTTCATTTAGGTTTTGAGCTGCATCCATGTTTAGAAAAGTGTAACTGATACAACAAGCTGATAATTATTTATTCTAACTTAATAGGTTTGGAAAATACAGTTAACAAATAAACTGTTTTCTAATGTAATACATTAATAATATTTCTATTGCCAGCATTTCCAGCAGGTGGCGGTATACGCTCAAAATCTGTGAAAACTGTGAACGCAGAAAGAATGAAATGGGCGTGTTTTACCCTGATCATATGACCGCTTAGTGACAGGAGCAGTACAAACATGGCCGACGACACAGAGGAGGTAAACACAGCTGTTGAGCACAACGAGTCCAAACAAGAGTCAAATCATGTCGAAGTTTCCCAAGACACGGCCGATGGCGAGACCGTCGAGGGGGGCAGCCATGCCGAGCTCCAGGACACGGCTTCGACCCTGGTGCAGAATAGCTGGTCCGCGCCTTTGCTGTCACTGGCACGGAAGGCCACGGAGAGTATTAGCGGCGGGGTGATCTCATCTGCTGCCCCCAAGAACAATGGTCAGGGCTCCACTCTGTCCTCCCCGACGGAAAACCAGAGCCAAAATGATGTCATTAATTCTGCGAGGAAGTTACCAGGTGCAGTCCGCTTTAAATTGTTTATAATAAAGTCATAAGTGTTAGAATACAGATTGGGAAAACTTCTTACTTTCTTTTAGACGTAGAGTGAACTGCCAGAACACATACTTACTTATTTACTTACTTAGGATACTTAGGATGTTCCTGGTCGCGGGCTAATAGCCCCTGAAACCAGATCTGTAGTCTTCAGTTCCTTTGTACATGCATACTCTTAACTTTTTGCAGACTTAGTTGTTACGCATGGTTTAAAAGCCATGCTTCCCAGGTCAGCATCCCACTGCCGTGCAAAATTTAAATTTTATGCTTTGATTTGTGGAACTGTGCTTTACCAAGTTCATCAAATGACATTAATTGAGAACTAACGCATACTTGTGTTTTCTTTGGGTTTCAACAGTTTTGACTCCAAAGGATCACATGTCAATTGAAAGATCCAATCTTCTCAGTATGATGAAGTTGAGCATCAAGGTCTTAATCCAGTCCTCTCTCAGCCTTGGCCGGACCCTGGACTCAGAGTATCCTCCACTACAACAGTTTTTTGTTGTCCTGGAACATTGCCTCAAACATGGATTAAAAGGTGAAGGATGAATGAAATGTACAAATCTTTGATAATTACATGTTCTTATAGTTGTTCTTTTTATACTTGCAGCCAAAAAGTCTTTTATTGGTCAGAACAAGTCTGTCTGGGGGCCTTTGGAGCTAGTGGAGAAACTATGCCCAGAATCTGTAGATATAACCACAAGTGCCAGAGACATGCCAGGCATTAAGTAAGTCACAAGACTCTAGAGAGATTACTGTGTCAACATTCATAAATACCAAATGTTTTGTTAGGACTGGTTTGGGAAAAGCAAGGGCCTGGCTGCATTTAGCACTCATGCAGAAGAAAATCGCAGATTACATGAAAGCTCTATTGGACCGCAAAGATCTCCTAAGGTAAGTATAATATAACGTTGTATTAATTAGATATAATGATTTATTTCATTAAAATGATGTTTATTTCCAGTGAGTTTTATGACCCAGGTGCCCTAATGATTGAAGAGGAAGGCTTGGTGATGGGGGGACTTCTGGTAGGAATCAATGTCATTGACGCTAACCTATGTATTAAAGGAGAAGACCTTGATTCCCAGGTAAATAAAAACATTTGTGAATGTATTGCGACCTGGCAGTGGTTGATTACCACGTCATTTCTGTTTAGGTTGGAGTTATAGACTTTTCTCTTTACCTGAAAGACCCTGCTAACAGTGAAACTTCACAAGAGTAAGCATTGCCTTAAACTGTAATGCACTTTTGTAATGATCAATTAAATGTTGAATTAGCCCCTTGGCCAAATGACAATTCTTTACAAATATTATTAGTATATGCATAATGTACTAAAAACACAATATTTTTTTCAGTGAATCGAAGATGACCGCAATATTAGATCAAAAGCACTATGTTGAGGAGTTAAATCGACACCTCAGTGGAACAGTTACTGATCTACAGGCAAAGATGGACTCACTGGAAAAGACAAACAGCAAACTTGTTGAGGAGGTGTGGTCTGTGTTTTAAAGATATTTCTTTGTGAATGTGAAGCATAATTGAAACTGCTTTTCTCTGTTTAGCTGACTGCAGCCACTGATCGAATAAACTCACTAAGGGAAGAGCAAGAACAGTTGAAAAAGGAGAATGAGTCCATTCTGCAGTCCAGCCAAAAGAAGGAAGAGGTCAGGCCCCAAACACTGAATGAAACCACAAAACATGTGATACATTCAGAAATTTTACATCCATAATGTGCTGTCTACACCAGGCAGCACTACAGGACAGCCAGGTGGAGCTGGAGACCTACAAGCAGACTCGACAAGGCCTAGATGAAATGTACAATGTGGTGTGGACACAGTACAAAGAAGAAAAGCGTATTCGCCAGGTAAGCTTCAATTTACTGGTTAACCATGCAACACTTTGGGGTTACAAGTTATATATTTTAATTTTAGGAGTTGGAGCGTGAATTGGAGTTACAAGTTGGGTTGAAGCAAGAAATGGAGGTTGCCATGAAACTGTTAGAGAAAGATACACATGAAAAACAGGACACATTAGCAGCCCTGCGACTTCAACTTGACCAGGTCAAGACGCTAAACCTGCAAATGTTTCAAAAAGCACAGGTATTGAAATGTAATAATAATAGTAATATGTAATAATATGGCAGTAAAGTAAGCCTTTGCGATATGTATCTGAAGGCATCAAAGCAGGAAGCTGAAAAAAAGCAGGCTGAAGCGACCCAGCTTGAGCAGAGGATGCATGAAATGGAAAAGACTTTGAAGGAACTAGAGAAGAGGTCTGCTCAGAATTATTTGGTAATGGCTACAAATGGACATTACATGGTTATAACTATCTATTTATAAAAACACAGATTACAAGACTCAGAGCAAGACCGCAAGAACAGCGTTCAAACTGATAAAAACATGAAGGATGAACTTGAGGGAAAAGTGGATGCTTTACAGAAACAGTTGTCTGACCTGGATACACTCAGGTAAAGACGATCCGATTCAATATCATGTTTATGCGTACTGAAGATCTTCTATTATTTGTTATATGCATTTATGACATTTAGTGCAAAGGACAGGCAATGTAAATCAATTACTTTGTATGTTTTGTTGGATATAGTAGTTCATCCACTATCGGAAAGTTTATCTGTGACGTTGCTGTGTTTAGGCTGGGTTTGGAGAATGAGCTGCGAACTGAGAGAGAACAAAGACAGAGCCTACAAAAAACTCTTCAGAGAGAGCAAGACAACAGCACTGAACTACGAACACAGTTACAACAACTGCAGGGCCTCCATGCTGTTCGTAAATACCTTTTTTCTAGCTAAAAGACTTAATGAAACACAGCCATTTTCAACAGTCATGTTTTTCATTCTTACAGGAGATGCAGGGCCTTAAACAGGAAAAACAACAACTACAGCAGAAGTGTGAGCAGCAGGAACAGGCTTTACAGGAGATGGGACTGCACCTCAGTCAGTGAGTAACTGGAGTCATACTACATTACATTGATTAATATTTTCACTTTATGACCAATATTTTGTTTTTAATCAAAGGTCAAAATTAAAAATGGAAGATTTTAGGGAGGTCAATAAGGCACTAAAGGTACAAAAGTAATAAATATGCATTAGGGCCAGTTCCCACAATTCATGTGTTTTATTTTTTTCCTCAAGGGTCATGCCTGGTTGAAAGATGATGAAGCGACTCAGTGCAAGCAATGCCTGAAGGATTTCTCAATATCGCGCAGAAAGGTACACCAACTTAAAAAACACTCTACAGTTCATTTATCAGCTTCACTGATTGCTTTTTTTTCCTGAAGCATCACTGTAGGAACTGTGGGGACATTTACTGCAACAGTTGCTCCAGTAACGAGCTGGCCTTACCCTCCTACCCTCGTCCTGTTCGTGTGTGCGACATGTGCCACTCGCTCCTTCTGCAGAGAAGCAACACCTCAAACTCTTGACACAACACTCACAAAAATGTATTGTAACTGCACACGCAAACATTGAAATCAAAGCAGAGCTAAACAGGCATCTGCCAACAATTAATTCAAACATCTTTCTAGCATTAAATTTCAGTTGAGCTTCTTTTTTTTTTACAGAATTACATTTACAAAGTACAGATCTGAAGTACTTGGAGCTCTGCAGTTGATCTAATGCTGGATTCATGCAGACTGTATTATAAAAATATATTTTAGAATGTACTATAAAATCTAATCTTTCTGAAGTCATTTGGATAAAGTTTTTTTTTTTTACCTAAACATTTGATAAAATAAAGTCTTATCATGTCACTTTTTCCAGACTGGTTTATTCACTTTTCCACATGAATTACAAATACCATTTAAAGCAGTAGAAACCTTCATATCAGCAGATTTAAAATGTACCTGCCAGGAGTAGCCCTCATCTTGAATAAACTGCCTTGTCAAAAAATTATAAAACAAAACATGCTCTGTGTTAGCCTGTTATAATTTCAACTTGAGACAAACAAAACATGTAAAAAGGTAGGAAAACAATCAAACATTTTAGTACATGCTTTCAAAGCCACCAGCACAGAGTGAAAATCTGGACGAACAGCCAGGTATTTAAAAAATGGACAGCACAGTCTCCTGGTAATGAAATTAAAAACACAGATCTTGCAATGTGTTGAATCTGTAACTAGGAACACAAACAGCAATTTTTGACCAAAGACGACCATTCTGGAGTTCATCCTCTTAAAACAAATTTCCACTTTCAACAATCAAACCTACTGTTTGTTTCTACACAAGATATACATTTCCAGTAAATTCAGCAAACTGAGTTAAAAAAACAAAACAAAACAGTCAACAAATTTACATTCCCCAGCCCCCTCCGATCCCATTCATGGACCCTCTGTTTCCTCCTCCACCACCGCCACCATAGTAACTGCTTCCCATTCCGCCCTGGTTACCTAACAAGAGACAAAATACACACTATAGGACCGCAGAGTTCTGTTTTGCAAATTTCATGTCATGCCAATGCAATAAACCAATTTTGAAAAGTCTACACACATTGGTTTACTCGTTGGACAGGCTTTGGCCCCCTTCATCATCTATATAGGAGAAGGAATGAATTGTACAATGCACAATTACACAAACGGGGCAATACATTACACGCATTCATTCACATGACAAAAATTGTTTGGGCACTATTTTTTAAACTTAAAATGTGTGAAGACTTTTCAGATATGAATTTTAGAGCAGACACTCACTATAGTCATTGTAGCCGCCCATATTTCCTTGGTTGTTATATCCACCAGAATATCCTGAATTCAGCTGTCCTCCACTGTATGATGACTGATTGCCTGAGCATTCAGAAAATATATGATTAATATATATATTTTTTTAATTAATTAACATGTGCAGCCTTTAAAACTGAGACTCACCCATGCCACCCATCATCTGGCCACCATATGTGCCATTACTGCCACCTGCTGTTGAGTTTAGGAACAGTTCCACGTAGCGGTGCTCTGTCAGAAAGAAGGCAATACACAATGACCAAAGGCCAACACATACATACAGGTGATATTCCATCAACGCCACTTGCCAAGTCTAGGCTTTTCTTGGCTGAAACTAACTCCTCTCCACCTTTAGTGTTAAGTTGGTCCATGAAAAAAATAAGCCTGGGTCTAACCAAAGCTTATTTAAACTGCGCTTTAATTGAGAAGGCCAGATCAATGAAGCACTTATATTATTTGTGCCTTTTTGATGAATGCAGCATCACAACCAGCTTCCAGTGTGTGGTCAATAAAAGTCTCAGGGGACACACAAATAATAAGTAATTTTTTAACTGTAAAAAAATTTGACTTAATACAGATGGGAGAGTGCATGTGCCGAAACTTTTGACTTTTCGTTTAGTACTTTTTGGAGACTAAGCTAAAATATTTGTGACAGGTAGTCTGGTCCTGACCAAGTTTGTGTTTAGGCGCTTGTTACTATGACTATGGAATCAGCTCTAGGATTTGATAAATCTGGATTGTCCAAATAAACCAGGCTTTTTTTTTTTTAGCTTGTTTCATGGAATACCCCCAGTTAAGAGTGTGTAGAAATGAGCACTTACGCATGTTTGCCTTGTCTTTGGACATTGCTGCCACAGCATCTTCATGAGTGGCAAACTCCACATCTGCTTCTCCGGTGACCCTCCCATCTGGACCAATCTCAATATGGACCCTTACTGGATTCAATGGTGAAAAGAACTAGAATGGGAAAATTAAGAATTATAATTTTATACTAGACAAAGTAAAAATTACCAAAAAGTAATTATGTGTTACATTGTAGATATCATTCTCTGTTGCTCTATACGGCAATCCCCTCATATGTACACAGTGACCAGTTGTACTCTGAAAAGATGAGCCACCATCTCCATACCGTCCATCGGATACACCTAAATAAATCAAAGTGGGATTAACAGAAGGCATTTTAGGGAATGTACCTACTAATCTTATTTAGTCACTTGCAATGTTAACAATATTGTCATGATACCACACGTTACATACCTCCTCCGTAGCCTCCTCGGCGCATTCTATCATAGGACCCTCCCCGGCCCATCATGTTGTACCCACGGCCCCCAGAGGGACGATCGTATGGGCCCGGTCTCTGCATGCCCATAGGCTTCCTCTGTGGTTCGTAATGTGTCCGCACCTCAGCGCGGCTGCTCTTGAAGATCTCAATGTACCTGACACAATAATGTATCACAGTAAGGAAATGCGCAGGAGGAGCACACCAGGAAAGACTGCATTGATAAAATGACTAAACTGGGCTATAGAGATTCTACATGCTGTCATGGTATAATCAGTTGTAAACACCATGTGATTTAAAAGTAGCATAATGAAATGTATTTTTACATTTTAACGTGACCACTTTTCTTATGGTTAACTGTAAGTATTTTTATTCATCAATGTTGCATCAAGAGCCCTCGCCATGACAGCCATTTTGTAGTTTGAGGAACGGTAAAGGGCTCCAACCCATCTGCAGCCCACCCCAAGCAATACCTGTGACAGTGGGCTTCAGATCCATGGGTACACTAGCCTAATAATTTAAATATCAGCGGAATTGTGCTTACCATTATCAGCCTGGACAGATAGTTCGTGCCAAGACGCCATCAAATTTAGTACAATGTATTTTTTTAGTGAGACTATGCACTAAAGCATAGAAATTTAAGGAAAACATTTATAATTTTTTTTGTCTATGTGTATTAGCAAATACGTAAGATAGCATGATTGTGTGTATGATTGAGATGTTAAAAGGTGCACACCATAAGAAAAGTAACTTATCCAGCCAACCAACCAACCATCCCCACCTGTGCCCTATTCTTTCCTTGTGTTTCTTTAGAGCCTTTTCAGCTATATCCTGTGAAGCAAACTGCACGAAGGCCTCCCCCGTACTCCTCCCCTGGATGTCCACCGGCAATGTTATCCCATTTGGCACGATTTCCAACCCTTCAACCCAAGGACAGATAACCCCAGCAGGGGACATATTAAATCACATGCCCAATCACAGAAACTTTCTCTAAAGAGAGAGAGACAACTTATAGAACTATACATCACAAATACAATTGTAGTTCATACCACTGAAAGCTTTCATGTGTTAAAATAACAAAAGTATCATAAATTAAAATGACAAGGATAAATAAAGATTATGAAGAGATTGTGTATGACATTAGGATACTATTCATTAAAAAAAGACCTGGTGACATGAAAACTAGTTAATTAAAAATTAGTAAAACATATATAATGAATGGTGAAAAACTACAAATGTGCGACTACTTCAGAAAAAAATAAACTACTAATAAGAGTGCAAGATAAACAAAATCATCAGGGGTTAAACATTCATATATACAATATTAAAATGTCTACAATAATATTCTTAGAGATAATGTTACCTGAGAAAAACTGTACAATTTCCTCTTTGCTACAACCAAACGGGAGGCCTCGAAGTCGAACAAGCCCGTCTCCTGCGGTGTCTGGACAATTTGGACCAGTGTGTTTCAAAACCCAATCCATCTCAACGTTGTTGGACTTGAACACTAAGGCCAAACAATGGATCAAATTCAGCAACAACATAAATACATAAATTCATCGTGTTGCTCCTTACATACCTTCCACATATCGATGGCCCATTGTTTCTCTGTCTTTCTTCATAGCAACTTTCATGTCATCTTCGGTTTCCAACTCAATAAATGCCTCTCCGCTGGGTCGGCCTTCTCTGGTGTAGGTAAAATGGATTCCACCAGAACTGTTGAGAATTTTGCAATCTATAATCAAAATAATCAGTTAGATTACCTACAGGTCTTACAAGATAAACTTGTTAAGCCATTAACACTTTTACCAGAGAAAAAACGCAAAAGTTCATCAACGGAGCAGGACCATGGGAGACCTCTGATGCGTACAACATATCCCTCATCAGCCATGATTGAAATACCCTATAAAAGAAAACATGGGATCAGTTCAGGCAAGTCTTACATTATATGCAGGAGTTGTTCTGTGGTATGAAGTGGGTCTATATTGAATTTAATCTAACACCATATAAATTAAATGGTGTAATCGAACGATAGTTCTAAGATACACAATAAAAAGTAAGGTATGAATGTACTTGGGCCACTATAGGGGCTATAATTAACTTTTGAACTTATCTCATTTAGCTATGCAGCATTTTAGTATCTTTCTGCATTACCGCAAAAAGAGCCACCGAAATCAATGAATAAGAGCGCGTACATGCTAATGCTAAGCTAGTTAGAGGGAAAGCTCACGATAAAGCTAGTTAGACAAAAGATTCATTGCACAGTATACTGAAAAAGAATGTGCGGATGTTACGCATTAGATATAATGTAATATAATATCATTTTAGAGTTCATCGTTTTGAGGGGAAATAATTGAATGCATCACGCTTACACCGCACCCAGACAAGAACAAAAGCGGCCCTCTCAGCCTGCGCCATGTTATTAGCGGTATTATGGAGCACAGAGGCTAACTCTTTTGCTAAGAACGTACAAGATTTGAAGTCTACAGTTAAAACCCCAAATGTACTTAGATTGTATGATTTAATGAATATGCGTAAATAAAACAAAAGTAGTAAGATTTACCTGACGTGATCCCCCGATCCAACACACCGGAAAACGTATGAATAGACCACGACAGCCCTGCGTGTGCGAGAGATGCTGAAGCCGCCGAAGCCTTCAGTGAGTTGCCAGAATATCGTAACAATCCCCTCTTACACTGAAATCCCAATTAAATGTAATGTGCTATAAACTCATTAAAAAATATTTGCCTGCAATAGAATAAACCAGATCCAAAATACCGTACAAGAAAGCCACTTATGGTATACTCTGCATAAAGAATTTTGATACAATCATAAGAGACAAGCTTTTGTATCTGGCAACGCTGCCCTGGAGAAGCGGGGGCCTCAGCGGTCACGCCCTAAAAACATGACGTAAGATGAGAGGAGTGGACCATGGGCTGTTTAGTGAACTACTTACTGGTACTGGCCTAGAAATTTAATGTAACTATGTTTTGAACCATATTGAATTATACGTATGAATGCATTCACTGGAACACCAAACCATGTTCCAAATAAGCTGCAAGCCCAAGAGTCAGATGTTCAGATCAGCTGCTGTTGTCATGCACTATTCTTGGAGGTCCTTAGTTTGCTGTTTTTCATCAAAGGCTGCATGTTAATAAAGGAACTGGAGTGAATACAACGAATAGTTCAAAGAGACAATGTTTAATTTATAATCTTTAGTTTAGGTCTGTTGAATCACTCTTGGACTGGGGTCATGAATTGGAAGAATTCAGACCAAAACAGTTGTCAGACAGTCAGAACACACCCATTACACACTATTATTGTGCCAGATCCCCCAAAATATTTCTTGGAACCTTTATCTTCATATATTAAAAATTTGAAAAATTCTGGATAGTTTTAAAAATATTTGTTTTGAAGGTTAGGATTGCAGAGGATGCAGAGTATACTAATTCGGGAGAAAGTCTGAAAAATAGATCTAAGGACAGTATTTGGCCCTTGGGTCACAGTTTGTCCAAACCCCTGCCTAAAATCATACATGTCCATGCCTTAATTTTTTTCTACACGCAACAAAAAGGCAAAATCAGTTGGAGTAGTACAATTTAATTAGACAAAACAAATGATGGCCCCTATTTCATTGCCAACAACTTTACAATACAATAATATTAGTAAATTAGTAACAATAATATTAGTAAATAATACCATATTCTTTACTGATGGAAAAAAAAAGATGATTAATAACATTGCACAAAACCTCATATATATATATATATATATATATATATATATATATATATATATATATATATATATATACACACACACACACACACACATACACACACACATATATATATATATATATAGTTCTGTTTTGCATAAAAAGTTTATATATATATTTTTTTTAGTTCTAAAATTTTAAATGACCGTTAGAACCCTCTGATTAGCTCTCATTAAAACTAAATTAATATATTATAATTATCACATAGCCTATTAGAAAACTTATAGCCCACTTCCAACATTATATTCAACCATATACTGACTCCTAAATTAATTATACAAGTAGGTAGTAAGTGTCTTTTCTGTGTATTATTAATGTGTTATAAATCAAAACGTACAACTGCATTAAAGAAAAAAAAAAAAACTATGCTAACCATACATAATCTGCTTGGCTATACATCACCTTTTGTTTTAATTTGCAATATCTAGTAAAGTTGTGATAAACTAACACAGCTAACTGTAGTTAGTGGCCTTCCATGTCAAGTCTTGACGTTCGTTCACAGCCTCGTGATATCGGTAAACCTAACATGACGTTGCGGTCCCGTATTTGACGAGCATCAACACTGACCAATAGAAACGCGACTCTGCCTGAGCAAAGCCAATGGGCTTATGAGAATTTCCCATAGAGGCGGTCTTTCTAAGAAACAGTGCGTATCGGGTTAGGTTGTTAGAAAGTTAATGGCTGGGGGAAAGAGATCCTCCTCAACCCTCGCTTCGGGAGAGTTTCTGGATTCCCTGAAGTAAAATCACGCAAATAACCTAAAACAAAGAGCCTGGGCGGACGTTTAAGTCAACAACTAGCGCGTAAACCCAGTATCGTGAACATAAGTATGCAGGATGCAGTAGCCGGGACGGCAATGCTGACGGACGGCTTCGAGGACGAGATTGACTCGGTGACTCCTCGCTCCCCAGTGGCAGGGATGGGGGTAGGAGCGACACCAGGAGGAGTCGGACTGGGGGGCATTGGGATTGGTGTAGGCGGAAAGAAAGTACGCTTGTACGGTGAGCCAAGCGGGCCTGCTGCAGAAAGACTGGATTTTAAACTGGCGGCCGCGGCCGTACTCTCATCTGGTCCTGGATCCGGCAGCGACGAAGACGAGGTTTCAGAGGTAGCTACGCTATGCTAAGTTAGCTAAGCTTTACTAGAGCTAACTAGGGGCTAGGCAGCATTCCGCTTTAGCGAGCTGGCTGCTAGCTAAGACTTAGCTCACAGTTGGCAGCCACCCCCTCCCAGGCCGCCGAAATTACGTAAATTATCCCCACACCTTACTCAAATAACACTACTTGCCTGCTCAGGCCCTAATACAGTGTTTGATGTGTACAATGTATTTTGGAGCAGTTGCAGTTGTGCAGGCTAGTCGGAGAAAATGTATTATTTATGCGTCCCAGGCTGCGACTACGGCCTTGTTCGAGTGGAAGAGACGGCGGCCTCGCTTGGTGCTGTCGTCTCGCAGCAGCACCACAAGTTTGCAGCCCTTCCCCAAAATTGAGCCTCAACGCTCAGAATGTGTCCGCCAGTCCATGGACAGACTCGGACAGATCTGGTGCAATTACGTCACTTTACAAATCATGTAAATAATCTGTGATCAGACGTAAGGCAGCTATTTCATCCATGTAGATGGCGTTTTACTCGGGGTCAGCCTGGATTTTACAAGTCTGTGTTGACAAATAACCCCGTTGTTAGTTCATCCTCCCTTCTTGTCTCTCAACCATCAAACTGGTATCGATACAATGTGAACTTTATTTGCGCTGTCACGGTGGTGAGCAGGTTTACCATTGCTGTCACAAATGGGACAAGTGTGGTGGCATCTCAGACAGATCATGCTGCAGTTTTCGATAGAAAACAGAAATAGAAATAGAAAATCTGTTACTTGCAAATTGCAATATAATGTGGCGTTATATATATTGAATTGGGTTTATTACATAAAAGCACTACAGAAAGAAACGTAATGTTGGTTTTCTGCTTTGACTTTTTTCAGAAGACAAATCATAAAATTGATATGGAAGTTACATCTTTAAGGACCCTCAATACATCAGACACCTGTATGATTTGAAACTAAAGGCAAAACAAAGTTTTACTGGTTTAGTCTTTTGCTGTTACTGTTTCCCTTCTACTTTGCTCTGACCAGCTGAACAGTGAGCATCTTTAGCTAAGTGGAGGTTCATAAAAGTAGCAAAAGAAAAGCCTGTTTTGACAGTAATAGTTGAGGTAAACTAATCAAATCAGCTTGAAAATACAGAGTTTCTGTCGTGCCTGAAGTTAGCCTGTACTGCTCCAAGAGTGTCTGGTGTGCCGGTTCAACCCAGTGGTGAACTCTCTGCTCTGGGCTGTAGCTAAAATCTGAGCCCCAGGATTAAGCAGATGCCATTCTAGGCCTTTCCAGCTCTGTGGATACCATCACTCTGGGAACTGTAGTTCATTAATAGTGAACACTGATGTCCATTGTTGATTACAAAAGCCCACATAGAACTACATTCCCCATGGTTTGTTGTGCTTTGCATTCCTGTCCTATAGCTGAATTTCACTACATTGCTGAATACTAACTTTCTCAAAACATTTACCGATTTGACTTCTCTGAACCTCAAATGCTGGAATATGTCTGAATATGGGTTGAACTCATTACTTTTAAAAATAAAACTTCTCATAGCACATAATTTGCACATGAATCCAGTTCATACAATTTATGAAATTGTCATTGCTCATGTTTGTAATGATAACTTTAGATTAACTTTATATTTAGTATAGCTAACACTCATTCTGTTGTCAGTACACAGCAAAGTCGGCGTGTTAACATTAAAGTCACCTTGTGAAATTGTTAGTTTCTTGCAATATACTTGTTCTATTTCAGATCAGTTAAATTGTGTTGCTAAAACAGATAGCTGGCTCAGGTATGATGCTGTGTGCTAGGGGCAGCTGACTCTCAGCTGAATCTGTCCGTGTTTGAAGGAGCACTACTGCGTCCTCTGCTGTCGGCCCTTTATCCTGATGTTCTCTTTGCTTCCTTTGTGCTAAGGAAATTGTAAACAAACAAGGATCATGTTGGTATCTAGTTATAGGACATGAATTTTAGTTTTAGACCAGTTGTTAAACAAATGATTTAAAGGGTTTATATATTCATTCTTGGTGATATTTTTCCAATCCAGTTCTTCTTTCTTGCTTGTTTGTTTCAAAGGTGGAGTCCTTCATTCTTGACCAGGAGGACTTGGATAACCCCATAATGAAGACTGCGTCAGAGTTGCTCTTGTCCAGTGCCACAGACGGGGTTGATTTGAGAACTGTTGATCCAGAGACACAGGCACGGCTCGAAGCTCTATTGGAAGCTGCAGGTATGAGAGTTTTTTTTCAAAATTAAGCCTGTCTTCACACAGAACTCTACAACAAAGTTTTTTTTTTAATTTCCATTAATGAATATACATTTGAAAGTTTGATTGGCATTATAAAAACTGAAGTCAGTTAAAAAATAATTTGGTCCATCAGTTTCACTCAAACTTGTAATCTAGGTGTTAGGTGCAGTGTGTAGATTAATCCAATAGTGCTGGGTGTCCTGGCCTCGTTTGGGCTTATGAACATTACCAGGTAGATTAACACTGCAATGCGCTTGAGCCTTTCCAGCATGCAGCGAGCCCACGTTGAACAGCTAATGGGTAATCTCATTCTACTGTATTTCCCCTCCTGTCCTCCCTGCCACAACACAAGAGTTCATCGCTGTAAATTAAGTCAGTTCAGTCATACAAATATAATTTTTTGTTTTGTATGTCACTACTGCAGGGATCTATTCATGAGTTTTAGCATTTGAGGACAGGAGACCATTCAAAAGGTGTAATATTTGATATTCAATTGTTAATTGCTAAGGCAATGGTCCTAATTTTTCACAATTCAAAATCCCATGGATAGATAGTGGTGTTATATTCATATATTGATGAAGTGTGCTGTTTTTAAGAGCCATTTGTTCCCATATTGTCTACTGTTAGTGATATATGTTGACAAGCAATGTAAATTGACATGTAAAATAAGTCCTTCTGCGTGAGGTTGGGTTTGACAAATGTTCGTGACATATATTGGTATTTCACTACTACATAGTTTGTACACAGATTAGCCAGAATGAGGTGGACTAAGTGCCCTGTGTAGTTGACTATACAGGCTGAATGTAGAAATGTACTACTGAGAAAAATGCTACACAGATGCAGCGGTCCAAAAATAACCATCGATAAAATATATAATGCTGTTCAAATATAAAAGCAAAATCAATCAATTTTACTGGATGAGTCTGTTTGCAATTCTATTACACTTTATTTCAGATTACATTCTAGTCAAGGAAGGGACATATTTCAGATTTTAGATGAGCTGTTCAAAAAGTTATTGTTAGCTGCTCAGAAGTTGTTTATATACATTTTTGTATCACAGAACTACAATATAGAATGCAATTTTAGTTCCTTTCATATTACTGTCTAGTCTTCTAGGTCAGAGATGGCTCAAGAACTTTCTAAAACTTTTCAAGAAATGCCTTTTTTTTTTTTTTTTTCAAATGAATATTTAGACACTAGTTTTAGGATAAATTACCTGGGTCATATCTGGGTAATTACTTAATTTTTTTAACAACCTATTTTGTTATATGTAATTGGCCAAATAAAAATGTATCTATATTGGTAGAGGTACTTCTGTTTAGAAAAAACTTTACACAGAACATATGAGTTTCTCAAAAGCTATACACCTGGGAATTAATTTGACTAAAGTTGTGTTTAAACTAAATCGAGAAGAAAATGTTGTCACTGTAAACATGAAGGCGGAGGGAAGCAACATGTAGGGCAGCAGTATTTGCTAGATGCAAACAATAATGAAAACACAAGTTTTTAAAATATCTAATATTTTTTATTAGGATGCTGTGATATTGTTATATCATTTAACTACAACATTACCCTGCTCACAATGAAGAAAACAACAACAAAGTGCTCTGTTAGTATGTTGAGTGAATAGTAATATAAAAAAAAAATGACAGACTTGATCTGGCTTATAAACCAGCCATTATTAGATACACAATACCAATTAAAGAACAAGGAATGTGCATTATTTGTATGTTTGGTAAACCTTTTGACTACATTGAGATAAACATGTCAAGAGTAAACCATTAACTTTCCCCTCAGCTCCTTTCTTAACTTTGCCGTGCGAAACATTGTGAAATCTTTGAGAACCATGCTACCTTGTGTTAAACCAAATGCACTGATTGAAAAAAGGGAGTATTTAAAAAAGTTCATAATTGTTAAGTGTGTACATGGGTTTCAAACAATTTCAAACACAAGCCAGCTTCCCATTCTGAAGCTTTTGTTAGCTGTCTGTTTATACAATATGTTGAACCTTTTTTGTCCACGGTCCTTATGAGCTGCAGTTATTTCTTTCTTGTTTACTACCTCTTACCATCTATGATTCAAAAGGGATGAACCGTTTTCTCTTAAACCACAAACCACATAATTTACAGGACTCACTGCATTTGTCACAGAGCTCTTTTTTGCTCCAGTCCTGTTGATTTGTTGTGAAAAAATACAAAATCTATAGATGCGTAATGAGGGCACTCTGAAGATGTATGCCACCAAATTATTAACAAATGCTTTGGTTGGGTTTTTTCTGTGTTTTGCATTCACGCCACTACTAACCTTGGATTGGATTGGCCTGACTGGATGCACTTCTCCCTCTCCCCCTGGTGTGGTTGTGCTTCCCTGTGGTTTGCCTTTGCCTATGCACCTATGCCCTTTTGGTGTTTGGCAGGCATCGGTAAACTGTCCACTGCCGATGGTAAAGCTTTTGCAGACCCTGAAGTGCTACGGCGGCTGACATCGTCTGTGAGTTGTGCCCTGGACGAAGCAGCAGCAGCCCTGACGCGGATGAGGGCGGAAAACACACTCAATGCAGGCCAAGCAGACAAGTATGTATCTGACCCACACCCATACACTAGTTGGTAGGGGTGGGCGATATGACCGTATAAGATCATCATGATCTGATGCCAGCTTCAGGAGATTGTTATATTGTGATACAGTTCTTTAATGTTAAATGCTCTTGTGCTCTGCTTTACTTTCCCCCCACCAGCTACAGCTAATGGTTAGCATTAATGTGCTCATGAATTGTGAACAAATGGAAACTGTGCCATAGCTTCTAAAAATTGTGGTTTAATTTTTTTGCCATATTGGCCACCTTTACTACACCAAATGCTTAATGATAGATAGTGATAGATGGTAGTAGTGTGTTATTGTGCGGCGTTTGTAACTTCACCTGTCACAGTGGCAGTAATTGTAGCAGTCTGGTTATTTTCAGCCGTAGTTTAGCAGAGGCGTGCTCAGATGGGGATGTCAACGCAGTCCGCAAACTGTTGGATGAGGGACGGAGCGTCAACGAACACACAGAAGAAGGAGAGAGCTTGTTGTGTCTTGCCTGCTCAGCTGGCTATTATGAACTTGCACAGGTAAAAATATACCTATTATTTAACTACTAAAAAACACACAGTTTTCATGATTATCGATTAATTATTGGATTTTTTTTTTTTATCTGCAGGTGTTATTAGCCATGCATGCCAATGTAGAGGACAGAGGCATCAAAGGGGACATAACACCACTAATGGCAGCAGCCAGTGGAGGTTATGTAGATATCGTCAAACTCCTTTTGGTCCACGGAGCAGATGTAAACGCACAGTCCTCTACAGGTTAAAAAAAAAAGTTTTTACTTAAGTTTGTCTGTGTTTATGTGTGTACATTTTACTAATGCTATTTACTTGCTTTATTTCAGGAAACACGGCTCTGACGTATGCATGTGCAGGTGGCTTTGTAGATGTGGTAAAAGTGCTACTCAAAGAGGGTGCTAACATCGAGGACCACAATGAGAACGGGCACACTCCCCTCATGGAGGCAGCGAGTGCGGGTCATGTGGAGGTTGCCAGATTGCTCTTGGAGTATGGCGCTGGCATCAACACACACTCCAATGAGTTCAAAGAAAGCGCTCTCACGCTCGCCTGCTACAAAGGTCCGATTACTACCTTTGAGGTTATTTTGCACATTTAAGGAGTTAAGCTTCTAACCATCAAATATCCCTATAAACAGGTCACTTGGACATGGTGCGTTTTCTGTTGGAGGCTGGAGCAGATCAAGAACACAAGACTGATGAGATGCACACAGCTCTGATGGAAGCTTGCATGGTGAGCATTAGATCCACCACTATTTGGCACACAAGATACGTGGCTGAAAAAATAAAATGCATAAAATCTATAATATTTTTGATATTAGTTTGTTGTGCTTACCTACACATTTTTTGTGTGTCTCGCTGTCCCAGGACGGCCATGTGGAGGTAGCGCGACTCTTACTGGATAGCGGGGCTCAGGTGAACATGCCTGCAGATTCCTTTGAGTCACCCCTCACCCTGGCAGCCTGTGGGGGACATGTGGAGCTGGCAGCTTTGCTCATTGAGAGAGGAGCCAACCTGGAGGAGGTATGGTCGACTAGACTGATTTACTTTTATTATACGTGCTATATAATTGTCTTTATTTTCATCTGATCCTGTTCTTATGCACAGGTTAATGATGAGGGTTACACACCTCTTATGGAGGCAGCTCGAGAAGGTCACGAGGAGATGGTAGCTCTGCTACTAGCTCAAGGTAAATTGACTCAAAATAACACTACCATTATAACTTTGACCTTGAGCAGAATGTACAAGGTAGAAGTGAACACTTGTCTCTCCAGGTGCAAACATCAACGCACAGACAGAAGAAACCCAGGAAACAGCCCTGACTTTAGCATGCTGTGGAGGTTTCTTAGAAGTTGCAGACTTTCTCATTAAGGCGGGAGCTGATATAGAGTTAGGCTGTTCCACTCCTCTCATGGAAGCTGCCCAGGAAGGCCACCTAGAGTTGGTGAAATACCTATTAAATGCAGGTGAGTAGAATGACTGCTAGAAATGAGCCCCTACTTGCTAGCTGCAGTTTAGATTTCTGGAATGAGAAATCCTGTTTTGCATTCAGGAGCAAATGTTCACGCAACAACAGCCACTGGTGACACAGCATTAACTTATGCCTGTGAGAATGGACACACAGACGTTGCAGATGTGCTTCTGCAGGCTGGGGCCAACCTGGTATGTTTTAAACCTAATGCTTTTTCAATTACTGTTGATAATGTCAATTAAGGTTGTATGGAGGATTTTTTTGTTTCAAATTGTCAATGATAGCATTATAGAGATGCAGTAGCCTTGTAATTATGATGACCAAAAAAAAGAGAATAAAAATTCATCAACTCTGGACGTGGTGGGGCCAGCTAATCATTTGAGAGTAACGAGACTGCCTCGTTATCTGTTAGCTGATAGGCTGTCAATCAAACTCCCTACGTTTCTAGCATAACTGACTTGCCTGCTCGCTGCCATTACGTGGTTTACGTACACCTGTCACGCAGTCCACAGACGCTGTTTACTCCACCAACGCAGCGGTTCTTAGCGGCTTTTTTGACCTATGTCTTCCTCGCAGTTAGCACTAAGTTTGTTGCAATGGCAGACAAGAATCTACGAGCAGTTAGCCGCAAAAGAAAGTCCGTTTTTGAGGTCGCTGAAAGAAGAAGACAAGGGGAAAAGCAGCGAAGCCAAACTAAGGTGATTATTGGAGATTCATTCCAGCGATGGTGCGACTGAAGCAGACGCAGGGTCTAAAGACTGACGCATTGGTCGCCAAATTACTTCTGGACAGGTCACTTCTGCTTATTATGAAAACGTACTTTATTTCCAAGAGCTAGACAAACGTTTTTCAGGACACGAATGCGATATCCTATGCCTGAAAACGTAATTTTAAATGCAAAGAAAGAGCCCGCTTGCCGCTGTGTGTTGTAGCTAGTTCATTCGCACGGAATCTCCGCGCACCCCTTTCTGCACCGCTCCCCTCTCCTCTCCCTGCTCCCCGTTCCGCTCTTCTCCCTGCTCCTCACTTCTTCTCTGCGCACGGAATCTCCACACACCGCTCCCCGCTCCGCTCTTCTCCCTGCTCCTCACTTCTTCTTCGCGCACTAAATGTCCGTGCACCCCCTCCCCCCGCTCCTCACTTCTCCACCTTGCCTAACCAACACTGTAGTTAGTTGTTTACAAGTCATGTGCAGCGATGAGTACTTGTTTTCTAGAAACAAACCTGTTTCTGGCGTAAGGAGGAGGCGGGAGGAGGCGTTTCTACGTAGGGAGCTGTGGGGGAGGGGTGGTGGTTTCACGCATGCGCAACATTTGAAAAATGACAAACAGTCGCTGGATTTCTCATTCCCTGGAAAATCCTCTATACAACCTTTAAAAAGCTAAATGTTTTTGTTTTCCTTAGGAACATGAGTCTGAAGGGGGGCGAACTCCTTTGATGAAGGCAGCAAGGGCAGGCCATCTTTGCACAGTGCAGTTCCTGATCAGCAAAGGTAGTGTTTATTTTTTGTTATACTATAAACTTAATTGACCATTTGTTCTAATGCAGATCAAGTTATTCCATTATTAAAATGTCTATGTTTTCTAGGA